CCCTCAAATACGTCGATCTGAGCCCGATGTCCAGGAGCACGCCGGAGAGCTACGTGACGGGAGGCTATCGTCGATCCACCTTGCCGCCAACCGAGACGGATAACCCCATCCTAGACGGCAAGAACGCCTCCAAAAAGGAGCCGGAGAATTAAGCACGTGTGGGATGCGCATGAGACGGTCGCCGTTCTTTGTACCCCCAATCCATTGGATTTTGTTGGGTCTAGGGTGTGTGTGTGAGAGCAAAAATGTACTTCTATATCACCGACATAAGAATACCAATATATAGCTATATATATATATAGAGAGAGAGAGAGAGAGATGCATACGTATGCCATTGACTAGGCAAACGTGATGCAATGTAAAATATCTGATTTAGTTCTTGAATCCCTTTAAATAGGCAAAAAAGGTTGCTTTAAAATTCTTTTTCCTCTTTAGATTTCACTTAGCCCAACACTGTAAATGTATACCACTACATAATAAGACACGGGTGCCTCAATAAATGTGTGTCTTCCATTTCTTGTGATATCAAATGAGATGCTTTTTCTTTTGTTGTGATTCTACCCTTGTTTTTCAAACGATACCTTCTCATTTCTCCCGTCTTGTAATTTGAAAACTATAACAAAATAAACGTGTAATGCCAAGCCGTTTCTATCAATGAGTTTATTCATATTGTTTCTATAGAGGCTTAGATATATTTAAACTTTGTATTTTTATTTGTATTGTTACTTTCTTTGCACATATACTTACAAAAAAAAAAAGTACTATTTATATTTTCGAACTGGCGAGTTCCACACCTATTCATCGGCCTATAAACCGGGTGCCCAGTTCCCTCTTGCACTCGGGGAAAATGGAAACTAATGCTTTTAGAAATGCTCAAGGTTCTCTGGATTCTGCCAGACTTCAGTATCTTGTTTCCACAATTAATAAATCATACTCAAATTATAACAGGCGAGTTAATATTTCCTCCCCCGTCATGCGCGCGCCCATCTTTCAAGCAGATTCCCTATTCGAAGGCGGGAACGCCAATTTTAATCTCAACAATGGTACCTTAAGCTCGGGGAGAGAAACTACCCTTCGGAGTCGAACCGATTTACCAAGTACATCTTTCCATTCCAACGATCGGACAATTGGGCAAAGGACTCATAGTAGTGGTAACCAGCCTTATAATGAAAAGACATCTTCGCTGTCGGCACATTTTGATTGTCGCTCGCATGAAGGGCTCCCCATCATGAACAAGACTCGCAGCGGCACCTACTGGGAAGAGCGCGAGCTTTACACGTCCTGCGAGGAACTTTGCTGCTTTCTCAACGGTGGGATTAACTACCGACTGCTCTTCAATCATACACAGGAAAGTCTCAGTCTTCTGCTTCGCGCGCTTAAGGAAGAGATGGCGCTCTTTGTCGAGCAGCTTTCATCGATGGATACCATGGAGCACCTGACAAAGTCTTTAGTCGAGCTTCTCCCTGAAACGATACGGCTTTTAAAAGAAAGTAATATTGATATGCTACCAGGAATCATGACCAAGGTTGAAGCTCTGGCCTCAGACTCGGTATATTTGAAGGACAACTCTACCAAAGACGCGCTGGCTCCTTGTAAGGGGAAAAATGTCGCCGCGGCAAGCCCGCATAATCGCGTGGTACTGCAACCCATCGCGTCGTCGACGAATCCCAACCAGGCCATTACCCGACGAACCCCACACTCGAGCCATGGTGCGGCAAGTTCTAGCGCGTTCAGTTCACACCTGAATTATTTTACCTATCCCGATGCGTCTAATGCGCCTTTCACTGAGTTTTTAGTGAATCTGCCACTTCAGTCCCCTCAATCGCAACGCCGTTCACAACCCTTCAAAAACAGTGTGCAGGTTTTCGCGCCACTCGTTAACAACGCTCTTAGCCACGCGACACACGCACGGCTTAATAAGCATCTTTTGAGTACATGTTTTTCGGATGGCTCTCCGGGCGTCGGATACAGTAAAGGATATCCGAGCCGCGTGGAACCCAATCACCGCGATAACAACGCGACGAATAAGGATTCTGTAGTGTCCAACAGTATCGGGATTCCCTTAACCGGCGATGGCACTCCTCGTCATATGACCGAGACCACATTAGGATCCGGTTCGCCCTTCCCGGTGGACAAAAAATTCCACCTAAGCCCTCTTTCCGAGTGCAACACGTTTATAGACAAGAACGTCAAATCCATAAATACCCCAAAAGATCCCCTTATCGACTTAGTCGTCACCTCCGACTCCCCGATATGCGGACGCGATCTGCCGCACCCGAGCGCGATCCCCCAGCCGTTGGAGCCGAACCTGATGCGTTCCCCTCGGACCTTTTTGCACAACAAGCCCAGC